AACTTGTTGGGTAACATGGGCTATATGTCTGTAAAAGATTAACTTCCCCAGGGCTTGGAGTTTTAAGGGGTAAGTTAGGGGAATCAACCATCGGGAATTCCCTCGCAGTGATATTTTCTCCCACTGCTTACAGTTCATACACGGATTCACAGAGCAGAACAGTTGCAGTCTACTCTCATTCGTCCAAAGCGAATCGACCTGTTGAGCATGGTCTATGTTTAGTCATGGCTCCAAAAGGCAACCGTCTCTTTCCAGGTCGCTAAGGGACAAGGCCATGAACGGTTTACCATTCTGTTTGCCATTGCTGGAACAGTCCAAGTCATTTAAACCACAAGGTTTTTCAGCTTGCTGGTGCGATGGGTAGGGAATTACAGCGGGTTAGAGTTCCAGGGCTTGATTCCCCATTCTTTTCAACCATCGTCCTTTCCCAAAACCGGATCCGTTTTCCCTGGGTGTCCAGAGGTTTTCTGGAAAGATCCGGATCCCTGGGTTCAGAATGGACATGGAAGGAACCCCTAGAAGACTATTTGGGGAAGAAACGGAAGAAACATGAAACATGAATAAATCGGAAGAAACATGAATAAATAGAAGACTATTCGGGGAAGGAACGTGAAGAAATCGCTTGGGGATTTCCCTTGTCGGTGGCCACTCAGTCCAAAGGTTTGGGAAGGAATGATCTTGGTGGCTCCCGGCCATGCCCTGAGCTTTTTAGTGGTTCGTGGTTGGATAACTTTGGCGCATGTTGCCAAGGGCTGTTAGGACTTTAGCTTTTTGCCCACGAACTCGGGTTTTCCACTAAACCACTAAAAAGTTATTCACTTTTCGCAGGGGAGCAGAAAGCAACCGAGATTACCATTTCTATAACCCACAACAAGTCTTTCTCTTCTCCATAGTTTTGCACAGCGCAGGGCAAACATGCGAGACATGTGCGCATTTTCCGCACGGCGCATGCATGCTGTATGCCTTTTGTTTGCATGTTGCGCATATTGTATGCATGTGTTGTTTTGGCCTGGATGCCTTCAAACTTGCGCGCGCGCCGCGCGCGCAACTTCTCTCATTGCACAAGACTTACAAACACGAGCCGGCACGTCGGGATGCACCAAGCATATCACGCCTTGCTCCACCAAGCTGGTCGAAACGCCTAGCGGCGGCCTTTGGAAACAGAAGGCCGGGCCACCTTCGGTTTCTTCCAAGCACTGCCGAACCTGAAGAACTTGCCCTCGTAAGTTCGGCGTTGTTGTTCATCGGCCTCCTTCTCTGCAGGGTGGTCCAGTTTGTGCGGCTTCAACACACCAAGTTCGGAGGCAGTGAGATGCGGACAGCGTGGCCAATTTGCAGAGTTCAGTTGGAGAAGTGTTAGGGTCCGACTTGAAGGTGGTGTCTCTCCGGCACCTTGCGGATGGTGTTCAAACGGGACCCTCTCCGTGGCTCCCACGGGGGCGGCTTGAACGGTGCTAGATCAGTCACTGGCTTCGCAAGTTCGAAAACGAGCCACGCCCATGATGAACTCCCCAACGCCTGGGGATTTCTTTCTTCCCAGACTCAAACAAAGCGGTTTGCCTTTGGGCGGTCTCTTCCATATCGTGAATCATGCGGGATTGTTCTGGGCGTCTTCTCTTAGGGTTGGACGCCTTTCGACCCAGCCGGTTATCTTCGCCCGTCAGTGTGGAGCTTGGAACGCAGATGCGCTTAGTGTTTTGGCATGTTTTGTTTTTTTTGTGTTTAGTGGTTGGATTCCCATATGGGTGTGGCTCAAAATTACACGGGGCAAACCGCAGGGGTTGGTCCATGTCTCCACTTCCCAGGACGAGCCATTTTGAAATTCCGGTTTTTTAAGCCACGTCCATGTGACCCAGCAAAGGATCTGAGGGCGGCCCAGAACCGATTCCCTGGATGCCCGTGGTTGAGGCTTGACTTCGTGCAACTGGACAAGGCCTCCGTGAGGGTCCTTATGGTTCGATTGGTCCGATTCCCCCAGCGAGTGGTGCACCTTTCTCACCCACTTTTTTTTGGCTGGGAGGAAAACCCCTACTAAAATAGGCTAGACTACAGAAAAAAAGTGCCCTTTTTCTAAACTCTCTACTGGAGGACCTAGGTTAGATTGGTTTGTTGTTTGGCCGCCTGCTTCTTGAAGGTAAAAGGCAAACAGAAAAAGCTGAACTTGCCCAAGGAGTTAAACCCGATGCCCTTTCAGCGCATTACCCAGGCTTAACGTCAGGCAACCATTCAAATGGAACCCTGTCTGCGGGTGTGCGACCCAATGATGGCTGTTTCCAGCCAAACCCTAGGCTTTTAGAGGTTGGGGATCATGTTTTCTGGTTATGTTTTCTTACTAAACTCAGGACATGAGTTCACATTTATTGAAGAGGAATTCGGCCCCTATATATCTACTTCTTGCAAAGCGTCTAGTCCTTTCGCAGTAGCTCTAGCAAAAAGTGATTGGACGACTTAACACCAGTCCTTTTATTGTAGAGGGTTGATTTCAAAAAAAAGGACTTCATTTCTAAGACGCTCGACTGCGTTTGTTTCAGGGGTCGTGGCTTCGAATTTGAGCGGCGGGGGACGCCCCGAAGTATGGAAGTATGGTTGGGGGGACTTATCGATGTAAATGATGCTCCCCATTAGATTTTGCCCAATCGGGTTGTTTCCCTACTTTGAGGGTTGGTTCAGGAAACACAAGGGAATCACCCGTATTTCCACTTTGGTTCTTCATTTGCGGGGCCTGTTTCCTGCTGGTGCATATTTTGCCGCCGGCCCAGATATAGCGGCCACCCCCTTCCCGGTATGGTGGACACTTGTTCCTTGTAGGGTAGTGAGGCCCCTTGCAAGAAAACTGCATTCAGTCCTCGAGAAGACAGTTTGGATGCCCCTGTTCTTCTCCTTGCTGGTTCCTTTTGCAAATTAATTCCATTTGCTTCAGGATATCTCTTATTTCCCAGTGACCAGTGGACATATTTTCTCCTTTTTCCAGGGGGCGAAAAGGCAACTGGCGGTTTCATCTTTGGTGCATGTTGCTTGGATGTTAGGACTTCAACGTTTGCCAAGACTACTGGGCTTTCCGTATGAAGCCACAAAAGGTGAGTCACACTTTTCGCAACCGAACCGTGCGCCCGGCTCTGTCGGCCGGCTCCGAAGCTGGCCACGGGCCAGCTGGCCTGGTAGCGAAACAGCGGCTCCGCGAAGCTTCGCGGCCCTTGGCCGCGCCTTCGTTTTGGTGGGGGGTCATCCTGACGTGTTGCCCTTTGTTAAGCAATAGAGGAGAGCGCAAAGAGAGCGCAAAGCTTCCGGTGGCCATGGCGATCCGAGAAATGATCCGCCTGGCTCTGCTGGCGATCCCGCTCGCATACGCGCAGGCCGGCAAGGAGTTTCGACATGCGGTGGTTTGCAGAAGCTGGCTCAAAAACTTCCATTTGCTGAATTGTGTTATCTGTTTTTTAATGTATTTATTTAATTTATTTATTTACTTATGTATTTCTTTGTTTGTTTGCTTAGTTACTTATTTATTTACTTATTTCCCCTTGCTGGTTTTCAAGGGAACTTGCCACTGCAGGAAATATGTTTGTACTTTTCCGGGGGGCTGAAGCAAATGGAGGAATAGCGAGGCGTGTTTCGGCACCCAGGGGCGCCAGAAGGAGGTTGTTAAAACCTTAGCCTTAGGTGTTTAAACCAGGATTATATACAGTGACTTGAGTCGCCCGACCTGGCCTAATGTAAAGGACCATGAATATGATTGCTACTACCAACGATTGTGACTAAAGCTCCCGTGCTTATACCCCAAAGCACGAAGTCTACCCTTGAGATAGGTTTTCAGAATCGAACAGACGACTCTCAGATAAGTTCCTTACATGGTTGTGGTTCAAAATTAAAGAGCTCAGGTCACGCAGGTATTGTCCTTTGGTTCCATTTACCCAGGTGCCATTTGGGTCATTTTATTGAGCCACAGCCAAATGTCCCCTTCAAACATCACGCAAACCATTCGCAGATGGCTCCCTCCCTTCAGAGGCGCAGCCTCTCTGCAGAGAAAGAAACGCGAAACAGCAACGCAACAACACACAACAACACCCATCAACACACACCAACACGAACCAGCAGACGCACACGCACGCACGCACGCACGCACGCACGCGCGCGCGCACACACAAAAAAAAAAAAACATGCCCACCCGCTCGCTCGCCTGCTCTGCTCGCCCGCCTGCTCTCCCACCCACACGCACGGCATCGCCGCGTCCAGGACAAGTGCGTCAGCATGGTCAGCATGTTGCAGACCAAGATGTCCAGGCCACTTGCCGTCCTTCACAAAGTCCTTCCCCGGATTCATCAGAGCGGGTGACATTTTGGTGGTGTCCGCCCCTCCCCCCACCAAAAAACAGGAAACAAAAAAGAAATATATTAATTAATAAGCTCAGGCGATATCCCCAACAGCATGCGGTGCTCTTTTTAGTGCTCGCACCACCCCGCAGCCTCGCGGATTGTCGTGGAACCCTGGTGGAACCCTTGCGGAACCTTACCTCAGGGGCGCCCCGGACCACCGGAACCTATCTGGGCTGAGGCCCCAAAGCTTTCAGCTGTTGGGGAATTAAATTAAATGTGAAGGATCCTCTCTAACCTCGTTGCCAAAAACAAAGAACAGAGTAAAGGACCACCGGGCTCTCTTAGCTGTAAAGAACCTTTGCTCTCAGCTGTAAAGAACCTTTGCTGGAGATTTGGGGACGCCTTCCACCCTTCCTATATTTCCAGCAAGCTCACGCGTCCCTGTGCAAAGCGAGCGATTCAAACCATGATGAAGGTGGAAACTATTTCTTCAGTGAATCCCGTGACGAAAGAGCCTTGATGAATCACAGATACTTCCAGCAGATCCTTCGGGGCATGAAGACTTGGTTGGACCGGTGGCCATCTAAAGACATACGGCCCAAATTTTTGGATGGTCTTCTAAGTTAAGTCTAGCTGTTCAATTTCATACCGATGTGAGCACTTGTCAACATCTACTGATTGTCAGGCTGGATGAGGTTTGTCGGATATATGAGATGGGCTTCCTCAGTTTTTTTTGTTTTGGTGCCTGGTGTTTTTTTTGGTGGTGGTGGGAAAGGGGTGTCCCCCAAAAGGCTTGCGAAGATTAAGACTTATGTAAGAGCGTTTGCCAGCGCAGCGGAAGGGCTGGCGGCCGCTCTGAGGATTCGCACGTCCAACTCGTCGGATGGCTTTGACCCGGATCAGCTGTCCATCATGAGCCCTGGCAGCGTGAGTGTGAGCCTACGGTTGGGTGCGGCAGACGCTCTCGAAATGTCGGAGGGCAAGAAGGGGGAACTCCATAGACTCCCGGGTGCTTTGGGCTTGATCCCTTTTGGGGAGATCACTCGAGTGAGACCTCAGGGAGCCTGACTGTCCCACTGGACATGGATTAAAGAATGCCCCCTTGTCAAGATCCCTACCTTCGTCCGCTTTCAGTGAAGACTTTATCACTGAAAAGCATGGTGCCCGTCTCTCACAAAAGTGGAATTGCGGGCAATTCCCGCCTCGCAATTGTGCGCGTCACAGTGTGTGTGTGTGTCTGTGTCTGTGTCTGTGTCTGTGTCTGTGTCTGTGTCTGTGTCTGTGTCTGTGTCTGTGTCTGTGTCTGTGTCTGTGTCTGTGTCTGTGTCTGTGTCTGTGTGTGTCTGTGTCTGTGTCTGTGTCTGTGTCTGTGTGTGTGTCTGTGTGTGTGTCTGTGTGTGTGTCTGTGTGTGTGTCTGTGTGTGTGTCTGTGTGTGTGTGTGTGTGTGTGTGTGTCTGTGTGTGTGTGTGTGTGTGTGTGTGTGTGTGTGTGTGTGTGTGTGTGTGTGTGTGTGTGTGTGTGTGTGTGTGTGTGTGTGTGTGTGTGTGTGTGTGTGTGTGTGTGTGTGTGTGTGTGCGTGTGTGTGCGTGTGTGTGCGTGTGTGGGCGTGTGTGCGCGTGTGTGCGCGTGTGCGCGCGTGTGCGCGCGTGTGTGCGCGTGTGCGCTTGTGCGCGTGTGTGTGCGTGAGTGCGTGTTTGCGTGCGTGCGTGCGTGCGTGCGTGCGAGCGTGCGAGCGTGCGAGCGTGCGAGCGAGCGTGCGTGCGTGCGTGCGTGCGTGCGTGCGTGCGTGTGTGTGTGTGCGGAGTGGCAGAATACCCTGTCACCACAATTGAGCGCAGGGGGGCGATGGTTCCTTTGGTGTGCATGTGGATCGTGAGTGTGTGTGCACGTGTGTGTGTGTGCGGAGTGGCAGAATACCCTGTCACCACAACGCAGGGGGGCGATGGTTCCTTTGGTGTGCATCGCCCAACGAAGACCGCACCATTGGATCGTGAAATCAGTCCAGGACGCTGGACTGACGTACCTGCCGTGATGCAACGTCCTTTTGGCCCCCTTGGTTGCGGCGCTGTTTGTGCTTCTTGTTCTTTCGGGTAACGTTTTCGACACTAGAGGGAAGCCGAGTGCATTGCGAGCCGAAACTTATGCATGAAGAACCTTATCCAAGCCGAAACTTACCAGTTGTACTCGAAAGATTAGCACCCTCCATGTTGGATTTCCAAAATTCCTTATTAGGAAGCTCAATCCCACTTTTCCTTAAATGTAGCCCCAAACGGCGAACTTGGCCTGTTCCCGTCACTGTGGCCTTGCGTGGTTGAAGGCTGGTCGGGAGGTGGTCGGGAGGTGTTGGAGGTGGTCGGGAGGTGGTCGGGAGGTGGTCGGGAGGTGGTCGGAGGTGGTCGGAGGTGGTCGGAGAGTGGTCGGAAGGTGGTCGGGGGGTGGTTGGAGGTGGTCGGAGCGTGGTCGGAAGGTGGTCGGAAGGTGGTCGGAAGGTGGCCGGAAATTGGTTAGCGGTGGTCGTTTGGAGGTTGAGCCAGGTTCTAAACGTGTGGTACTGTTGGAGCTTCACGTATTTCCATATTTGGGTCATGCAGTGAAATTATTCACGTGATTTGCTTTTTAAGCACGGTTTATATCCTTTCTGATCAGCAGGCCGCCCGGATAAGCCATTTGGAAATCCAACAACCCTCCATCTGGAGTTTTAAGTGTGTACACCCCATTCGTGGGGAATCCTAGGGTGTACCCATCGTGTGACCCCGGGCCGGCTCTGTCGGAAAATTTGACCTCAGCGTGCTTATCATAGACCAGCGGAATTTCACATTTAACCAGGATCGAGGTTTCACTAAAGGGAAGACAGCCACCTCTTCAGAACTCTTCATAGCTACGTTTCACCCTTCGTTCTTTTTTCTCGCCTTCGTCTTCCGCGTCTTCTGGTTCTTCGCCCGCCTAGGGATGGCTTCTCCTTCCTCCCGTTCTCTTCCTGCTGCCTTTCGTGACCCGCGCGTTCGCCCTCCTCCTGTTCGCCCGCTTAGGGATGGCCTGGTTGTCCTCGCGTTGTTCACCTTTTTCCTCGTCGTCGTCTTCGTGTCCGTCTTCCTGTTCCTACTCCTCTTCTTCCTCACGTAGTTTGGCTTGACGTCTTCTTCCCCTTCCGTTGCTATTTCGTGTTCGTCCTCTTGGCCCCTGTGTGGG